ATAGTAGCAGTTCCAACTTGAATAAGGTGCAATCCAAAATGAGCTTCATACATAAATATTATAATAATAATAATCTAAAAATATAATTTACATAAAGGAGACCCATTTGGATGGAAAATAATGACAGTGAATTGATTAAAATATCCATGGTGCAAATAGCGCAGACAGTGACTTTTTTAAAATGGATTGTTGGGGATTAGTGATTAAGATGTATAATATACAGTAATATTGTGAAATATTATTACAGATTTCTATTTTAATATATTTTATAATGTAATTTATTCCAATGATGGCAAAGCTAATGTTTCAGCAACAATTACATGATCAGGGCCGTAGCTAGTGGAGAGAAAGGTGGTGACGATTATAGGGGTCCACGTCAATTTTAATGGGCTGCCCGGGGCAAGCGTGAAAGACGCTCTGGACAGTTCGGATCAATGCTGCACCTCTTCACAAAAGTTTAGCATTTGCATGTGTTTATAAGCCTTGCCAATTTAAACATTCAAGCGATTTTAAAAGTGCAAGAAGAAACAAAACAACTAAATTCAGTACTCGCACGCTGTGTTCTGTGCACGTAGCACGCACAGAGAGCTGCGTTTCTGACAACACACGAGCCTACAATTCAGTTCCCCTTCTCTTCATTGGGGAATGCAGCCTGCATGACCGGTGTCTGAAGCACGTGTGAAACAACGCCAATCTATTGGCCCACCTGGCCCATGATGTCATAGGTGGGATGCCCGGAAGTATAAAAGGGCACCTGCTGAATACATCATCCTCTTTGCTGTCTTCAGGAGCCGTCTGTTCAGTGTTGCCAGTCGTACGATAATTATCGTATTTGTACGATAATTTTGACCTCTGTACGATGTACGAATAATGAAAAAAAATCCCATAATGTACGATAATTTCATAATTTTATGACAATTATTTAATTAAGTGATAGTAGTTGTAGTCATAGGGCTTCTATATTCATACACGAAATCTAAATCGAGCTCATACACACCTCAGAGTGTGTTAAAAATGCAGAAGGGTGCCCTGCTTTAAAGCCAACGAGCACTGTTGCAGTCCATGATGGCAAGAACCCCCTCAACATCTGGCAACACGCAGGCTTCCGATGACAGCAGCTCAGATGTGGAGTTAAAAGCTAAAGTCTGTCTACACTGGACGCGACAAAGCGAGTGTTAAAAATCATTTTAATACGTCATAAATAGAACGAGGCATCAGTTTACTGTCGGGGATGTGTCATGTCGTGTCATGTCGCATCCAGTGCAAACAGTCACTGATCATAATGGTTCCTATAGTATTTTGTCGCACTGCTCGCGTCCAATGTAAACACGGTACGCCTAGTTATCTATTGTGGTAATTTGCAGGTCGTGTCAAAAAGTTGTTGATTTAGATAAATAGCTGTATTCTGTTTGACTCGTGTACGATAATTTTCTTCCAAATACGATCATTTTGAGCTTCTGGTTCTGTTCCAGAGGTTTCTGGCACTTGAGGACGCGCACCATCTATCTGTCATCTGTTTTGGTCAGGAGCTTGCGCGTACAGTGCTTGAGGGCTCTGGACACGCTCATTGTGAGTGTTTTCCAATGAGAAGCTCCATTCGTGTTTGTCCCTCTTCTCGAGAGATGAGTGAAAAGCGTTTGCATCTCGCGGTTCGGGTCCCGCTGTTGCCGAGGCACGGCGAAGACTCAGATCGCGGGGTTGAGATGCCCTTTTTGGGTTATCGGATCCCGCTGGATAGCGCTCGATTCGAGCAGCGCCTTAGGGAATGTGTGCCTCTGTGTTTGGATTCTAACACTCGAGGGCATGCTCTGCTTTCACGTTTGTCTCGGCGAAGAGCATGCGCGTTCAGAGTTACGCGCTTATTGTGATGAGTCACGATGTCTAGGCTACACTCGCGTTTGTTCCTATTCCCGAGGCATATGGAACAGAGCGTTTGTGTCTCGCGGCCCGGTTCCACTGTTGCCGTGGCACAGTTTATCCCACCTCACGGTCATCGTTTTGATCTGCCGCATCCGCACACCCTCTCTATATGGGTTGTCAGATGCCACAGATATTGTTGGGTTGTTATGACGATGAAGTGTGAGCACGGAGTCGTTTCAGCCCTGATCCTGTGAGATCGTGGGCGGTGCTATATTCAGCTCGGCCATGCCTCTCTAATATGCATGTTATTGTGTGTGGAGAGCCTCGCTGGGCGCGAATATATTGAAATATTCTGTGGAGAGAGGCTTGCGAGTTTTCTCTCCCAGGGTTTTCAGCACATAGAGTGGGTATGGGGGATATCTTTTTGCTCTGGAATATGGCGGTCTGAGGGCAGCTATGTTCTATCCTAGATTCTAATAACTAGGTTGGGTTCCCCTTGGCACAAATTCTCGAGTAAGTGCTGAAGTCTTTGTTTAGGAATCTGCTGTTCGAGTATAGCTGTGTTCCAGCGCGGAGACCGCTTCCCTTTTAGGGTTTTTAGATCGTGGTCTCTGTGAGCCCCTTGCCTGGACTGTGCTGTCTCCCCTTCGGGGTTTTAAATAGATGGCTCACTTCCGTGGCCTGGGCAATCTTTAACCTTATCTGAGAGAACTGCTGTTCCAGGATAGCTGTGTCCAGCCCTCTAGTGCTTACATGCTTACATAGTGCTAGCTACTGCTTACATCAGGCTTGATCTCGGACTATGATGTTTGTGTTCGCTCTTTAGCAAATCATTTACTGATGTCTGGATCGCCCTCTTGTGAGATCTTGGTCAATAGTATGGTGCTTTGCTAGCCTACTGTGGGACTGACATGGATTGGGGACTTCTTTAATATAGCCTTATGAAGGTGGTTATATTCCAGCCATTGTTTTTGGCAGGATGGGCTTACTTGAATACAGCTTTCTGTGGCTAGCTGTGTTCTACTGCAATTGCGGTGGCCCCCCTCATGGAGTAGGCCCTTCTCCTAAAACATAGCTATCTGAGGATAGCTATGTGCTAGCTCAGTGATCGCTCCCCTGCTTAGGGTTTTAAGTAGCAATCTCTTGAGCCCTTACCTAGACAGTACTGTCTCCCCTATTTGGGTCATAAGTAGACAGCCAACTTTTTGTGGTCTGGGTAGTTTCAGTCGGTCCCCCTTCTGGTAGCCCTTCCCAGGTACATAGCTATCTGAGGATGTCTATGTGCTAGCTCAGTGACTGCTCCCCTTCCTAGGGTTTTTAAGTAGCGGTCTCTTTGAGCCCTTGCCTAGACAGTGCTATATCCCCTGCTAGGATAGTAAGTAGATAGCCCACTCTCTGTGGTCTGGGCAACTCTGCAGGAAGGCTATCTAGGCTAGCTGTGTATTGTTTACTTGGGACTGGCACAGTTTGGGGTCCTCCTTATTATAGCCATCTGAGGGTATTTACATTCCGGCCACTGTGATGGCAGGACGGGCTTACTTGAACACAGTTATCTGAGGCTAGCTGTGCTCTACTGCAGTTGCGGTGAGCCCTCTTATGGAGTGGTCCCCTTTCCTAGAGCCTAGTTTTCTGAGGATAGCTATGTGCTAGCTCAGTGATCGCTCCCCGGTTTTTAAGTAGCGGTCTTTTGAGCCCTTACTTAGACAGTGCTGTCTCCTCTCTTTGGGTCGTAAGTAGACAGCCCACTCTTTGTGGTATGGGTAGTTTCAGTCGGTCCCCCTTTTTTGGTAGCCCTTCCTAGGTACATAGCTAATTTACATCCAGTGGAGGGTAATGTGGTAGGTCTATATAGCATAAAATTATAATGCGCAGCCTACCTCTGTCATTCGGCATTAATCCAATTAAATGTGTCCGTATTTGCGATGTATTTGAATGCTAAACTATTATTTATTATGTAAACCAGGCTTACTTAACGTGCTTAAAAAACACCCTCGTCACATGAGCAAATGTGTGTTTGGCCCGAGCTCAGGCTGATCGGCACGGATTGTACTACGCAGTAGGCTACGCACTATTTAAATGAAACAGTGTATCTATGTGTTTGGTTGACTGTATTTTATTCTGATAATGAACAGGTTGCAACGTTTGCAATGCTATATGTGTGTGCGTGAGGCGCCGGCTCGATCGAACAGCGGAAACAAACAACAAAAAAATACTCCGTTATTTTTGGTCATACATCATTCGAAACTGCAATGTGTTTACTTTTATTTCTGTCATCTTGGTTTCCTTTCTGTGGACTTTCGTAGAGCGCCACGCCACACAAATAGCATATGAACTAAACTCAGAAGCATAGCCTATCTCTCAGCCTTTTCCTTTCGTTTTGTTAATCTGTTAATTAGGCTAAGTCAAATATTTTGCATATTCATTCATTTTATATATAGACTATGATTTAATAAAAACAGATTTAATTTTTAGTTAAACTTAATTTTTGTTGCTTGTCTGCGCTCGTCCGCCGCCTTTTTCTCTTCTCCGACCCCGCAGCTCTCTCCGATAGCTTTGTGTTAGTGGCACCAGTCCAGTGTTTCCCGGTTTTACTCATGCTATTTTTCCATGTTGAGAGTTTGGTGTAGCACATATTGCACCTGACTATGCATTCTTATCCTTTTCTCCGATAAACTGAAAATAACAGGAGTGTGTCCATCTCACAAATGTAGAATCCGTCTCTGCAGTCATCTCAACCATCTAAATCCAGCAACTTTATTTCTGTCATCTCGGTTTCCTTTCCGTGGTCTTTCGTAGAGTGCCGCGTCACAAAAATAGCCTACCAAACTCGGCATATCTCTGTCTTTTCCTTTCGTTTTGTTAATCTGTTAATTAGGCTAAGTCAAATATTTTGCATATTCATTCATTTTATATATAGAATATGATTTAATAAAAACAGATTTTGTTATTTTTAGTTATACTTAATTTTTGTTGCTTGTCTGCGCTCGTCCGCCACCTTTTTTCACTTCTCCGACCCCGCAGCTCTCTCCAATAGCTTAGTGTTAGTGGCACCAGTCCAGGTGTTTCCAGGTTTTACTCGTGCTATTTCTCCATGTTGAGAGTTTGGTGTCGCACATATTGCACCTGACTATGCATTCTTATCCTTTTCTCCGATGAACTGAAAATAACAGGAGTGTGTCCATCTCACAAATGTAGAATCCGTCTCTGCAGTCATCTCAACCATCTAAATCCAGCAACAGGAAATAGACAAACTATTTTACCAGCGGAATTTTTTCTCTGGTGCTGTTTTGCGGTGTTAGTAAATTCACTAGTTAAAATATGTTGTTGTAACTTGCGTTACTGAGATTGTAACGAGTAATAATAACTCATAATTCACTCACTGCTCTTGATTGAATAATTATGTAGCTTTAACAATGATTAATCTGTATGTAATTTATGCAGTAAAGACTATGAAATACTATTTTACATTTGATTATTTCATTTCTGTACCTGGACACGACAAATCTGAAAAAAAACTAAAGCATAGTTTATTTTGTATCTTTGTTGTATTTATTTATTTATTTGTGCTAGCCTATTTATACAATTTCAAATAGAGCCCATGTGTACAACCTGCACTGTGGTGCCGCATACCTCAGCTACAGCCCTGCACATGATCCTTCAAAAATTCTACTAATATGCTGATTTTGAACATTTGAAACATTTATTTTCTTCTTATTATTATTATTTTGTAGAAACAGTGAAGCATGTTTTTTTTCGGGATTAATGCATTGTTCAAAAGAACTGCATTTATGTGACATAAAAATCTTTTTTTTTTTAGAATGCAAGTCTTTACTGTCACTTTTGAGCAATTTAATGCTTCCTTGCTGAATAAAAGTGTTAATTTCTTTCAAAAAAGATCTGACTGGCTCCAACCTTTTCAACAGTAATGTAGATAATACAGATATTTTAATGTGCTTTTGGCTTAGCAAATGACATACAGTACAATAATTAGTGCTATTTTTAGCAATGTAATTATTTACATTGCCAAAGCATTTGCATATTTGCTGCAGATCATTAAAACAGTGCAAAGGCAAATATCAATTAAGTAAATAACAGAATTAAAAGAAACAATAATAACATTTTAAAAAGAAACTTAATTGAAGCAATTAAGAAGAATAAAATAAGCCAGTGTGAACAGGGTTGGAACGGAGAACACTGCACCATCGGTAAACACACACACACACAAAGACACATGCTCTTATCCTGCTTTGAAGCTTTAAGCTAGTCAAAGGCATTTCCCTTGGTTCTGTGACTTCTTTTACACCAGTGTTTTTCAGACTTTTCAGCTGCTGTTTTGTTGTTTGGTCTAGATTGATTTGCTCATGTTTGCATCAGCACACATAGAGTAGAAAAACACATCTGTGTGGATGTGCATGTTTGTGTGTGTTTTCATTATTTTATAATCACATTCATAGCAAAGGACACAGTCTTCACTGTGTGATCCGCATCTATAAGAATATTAAATGACTTTTTGAGCTCTGGAGTCCAACTGGAAGAGGAATGCTAATGGATTCCGCTTTGGTTGCACGTGTTAGGATGCTTGTTTTAATGCTAATGAGTACAATTCTCCCTCTCCATCACTGTTTTCACATCATTGTTTTCAGACAACTTATAGCTGATGGATTTTGTGCACACAACACTTCTTAACGCTGAATTCACCAGCCAAAATTCAGCAGTCAACCAAGTCATCCATAATGGGTTTTGCTTGGGTTCATTGATAATAGATGTCCATCAGAATTTTTCTGACAGGTTTTCTTAGTGGTATGTGGCGTGCATGACATCAGTATGATAACGAGTTTTGAGTGGAGGGTAACATTTCTCCTTGTGTTTCTTATGGGCACCGAACGAATTCAGTCCAAATCCAATATAATCACACAATTGATCGATCTCTCCTTCCTCTATTGCAGATGGCTGTCCAGGTCTGTGCAATGGGAATGGGCAATGCATCATGGGTCAGAACAGCTGGCACTGTGAGTGCCACACTGGCTGGAGAGGACCAGGCTGCAGTGTTGCCATGGAGACCTCCTGCAATGACAACAAGGACAATGAAGGAGGTGACATACACATGTTGAATGCAGAAATTGTTTCTAATCCCTTTGGCTTCACATGCATCACATCTGTCGTGACTTGGGGGGAAAAAAGCTAAACTGATGAGAGGCAGAACTTTTGGTTAGGACAGTTATCATCTCACTGTTGTTAAGGCCTGTTCACATGAAAACAAATATTTGGTGCGATAAACAGCTGCTAATGTGTTGCTTCAGAATGAGACAAACTTTCATATGCCATTAATGTGACCAATTCTTTTTTTTTTTTTACAAAGAGGTGTTCTAATCTGTTTGCCATCACATGTTGATTCAACGTTGATTCATGAAGTCTAACCGTGTATTTTCTTTCTTTCTTTTTTACAGAAAATGTGACTATTGATACATCAAATCGTCACATGATCATTTAGACGTTAAAGAATCTATATGTTCTTCAATAAAAAACGAAATTGTTTTTTAAGCATTTTAATATATTGAGATTTGTCTATATATACACTGCTGCTTTGTGGCAATTTATTAGGAGATATGAGAGATATGAAGATGCTCTGAACGGATGAATAGAGCAGCTCCAGTCATCTGTATGAAAAGGTGATGTGTCTGTTGGCTGGCAGAGTGAGGGATTTGAAACTACCCCAAGGCAAAACGATTATATAACAGGTGGATGTTCAGAGTCAGCCCTGAGTACTGAGCATCTCCCCTAGACCAGTAAAGAGCGCAGAGAGGCTTTTAGAAAGAACTATCTGTTTCTTGTTTTAAAATGTTTTCAGTTTCCCCACTTCGTCTTCTCTTTTGTGTTTTCTCACTCTCTTATATACACGGCCAGGCTTTTCACAAAGTATTGTGAAATTACTTTGGATTTGTGTCTTTTGAATATAGCAATGAGGTCAATCTGTGATGTTTAGATGCAGGGCTGCCAACTCTCATGCATTCAGCGTGTAATTGACACTGTACTCACACTCGCACATCACACGTCCAATTTCTCATGCAGTGAAAAGCACCCTCAAATGAAACCAAGAGCTCCCTCAGTTAAAACTGTAGTAGGATATTGGCAAAACAGATCTGGTAAATGCTCCAGTGCATATTTGTGTTTGTGTTCTGGAGAGCGTCAAAAGTTTCTATTTACATTGTGTTTTTATAGCATTGAGCAATGTAGCCAATTACAGTTAATTTCTTGAACACCTCTGATTGACTGTACTGTTCAGGTTAGTCAGAATTCACTCACCACTCAAAACATCAGATTTTTTTCTGCACGCTCACAAATCCTCTCAATGTAAAAAAGTGTGTAGATACAATGTAAATAAAAGTTCACTGAGCAGTGTAGAGAGCTTTGTGAAATCGCGATGAACTGAAGAGAGTGGCAGCTTTTTAGTGATTATAAGGAAGCTCTATTTGCAGGCTTTCTAGACTGCATATAATCCGTTCAGAATTTGAATAAAAATGTTGTTTTTCGTGCTGCTAAGAGGACCAATGGCCACATACCCTGTTCACGCAGCAAAGTTTCAGGATTGACATATAAATCCCTCATATAAATGTGGGATTCACTTTACATAATGATGAATACAGCAATGGATGGGGGAAAATGTAATTTGTCATAATAGATGTGCATTAATCTATTCTAATGTAAATGCAGACTAATAGATTACTAGAAAAATATTTGAATTTTTTTATATTTTTGAAATGCAATTGCAATTATTTATAAAAGTAATGAAATATAAAATTGCAATTCTCTCACTGTACATTACTATTCTTATTGTGGGAAAAAGTTAAGATAGACATGTTCAGATGTCAGGCAAAACTGCTGACAGGTACAGTGGGTATAGAAAAGAATCACCCCCCTTTAAAATAATCATATGTTGTTGCTTTGCAGCCTGAAATGAAGGACACAGTTTTTGTTTTATCCAACTGTATTTACTCAGTGCAACTTATAACATCCAACTGAAAAATATAACATCAACATGTCATAAGAAAAATAAAAAAACAGAATCACTGAGTTGGAAAAAGGATCACCCCCTTGTGTCAGTATTTTGTTGAACCACCTTCTGCTTTAATTACAGCCTTTAGTCTGTTGGGATATGTCTCGGTCTCTACTACCTTTAAACATCTAGACTTTGTTATATTTGTCCACTCTTCTTTGCTGGACTGCCCGAGTTCAGTTAAATTTGATGGTGAGCGTTTGTGGACTGCAGTCTTCAAGTCATTCCACAGATTTTCAAATGGGGTTTAAGTCTGGGCTCTGACTAGGCCATGCAAGGAAATTCACCTTTTTCTCCTTCAACCACTGTGTGGTCAGTTTTGCTGCGTGCTTTGGGTCATTGTCATGTTGGAAGGTAAACCTTCTTCCTATTGACAATTTACTGGCAGAGCAGAGGGCAGCAGATTTTCCTCAAGAATTTGATGGTATTTTGCCCATCTATTTTTCTTTCTATTCTGACAAGTGCTCCAGTCCCTGCTGCAGAGAAACACCCCATAACAGGATTTTAATTCAATTTTAGTCTCATCTGCCTCAGAATCTTCAAGGTGTGTTTTTTGGCAGAGCTCAGTCGTGACTGCATGTGGCCTTTC